ATCGCCTCGTCCGCCGCCATCGTCCCCTTTGCCGGCCGACAGAAGTATATCAGACCTAATCGCAGGTAAAGACCTCGCTCCTGCTCTGCCACACGGGGTGTGGGTGTTACAGTGCTGCAGAGCTCAAACTGATTGTTGTATTCTCGTTCACGTGTGTATGTATGTGCACACATAGAGACATGTAAAAGACGTTTGGGATTATGGCGGTGTGGAGGTGACGTCGGTCCACAAAGTAGTAGCTGCTGCTCGCATGATTCTCATTACAGCGACAGGATATGATAGCCTACATCTACCTACCTAACTACCTAACCACCTAACCACCTAACTAGGATGGTCCACTAAACGGCCTCATGCCCACTTCGCCAAATTCGTCTCCCTGAGCCGCTCCTTCAAATGTTATTATTCTGCACATTTTTTTGCGGGCAAGCAATACACGCACAGGGCAATACATATGGCAATACATTTTCATAATCTAGTCGCCGTGGACAATCCACTTGGATGTGCGGCGCAGAGAGCGGCTGCGCAGACCTCCCCGACGTGGTTTCTGTCACCAACGCCTATCGTGCCCGGCACCGCGCGCCCAACCTGGCTTGGAGCTCGCTCCTGGCGAACGGATCCCTCGCCTACGCCAAGGTCTTAGCCAAGAAGTGCGACTCATATCACTCTTCCGGCAAAACGTACGGCGAAAACTTGATGCTGGTACGATATGCCTCTCACCACGAGTGGCGGAATGCATACGGTGAAACCCCCCGGTGAAAAAGATTGACAAATGGAGACGACAAAAATACCCCTTATAATGTGGTGTCGTATCTTTTTCCTCACCCACACGTTTCGGTCTTTCCTTATTATTTCCTTGGGAGGGGCCTTATTTCGTTTTGTTCCCCCAAACCCCCCATGCCCCCGGTGTCTCAACGGTGTGTTACACTTTAAAGCCACCGTAAGCATAATTATTAATCCACGAAATTATACACACTTCATGTTGTTTTATTATGTTGTTTTATTAATTTTGTATATCCATCCCCAAGCCCACACCTTCACCCGGCGCTGCTTGTCAGCACACGAACCACCTTGGTGCTTACTTACCCACCTGCCTTGCCGCCCCGAACTGCCGCCACCTACCTTCATACCTTCACAGATTAAGAGGTACCCGAGTCCGCAGAAATGGGACGGCTGCGTATCCGCCATCAACGCCTGGTACTCCGAGGTCCAGAACTTCGACTTTGAAGCAGAGCTGCCGTACAGCGACAACGATTTAGCTGCTACCGGCCATTTCACGCAGCTGGTAGGTCGGGGGCGCCTTTGGCCCTTGACAACCCTGTGGATATCAAAACACGTCTGGGTGCCTGCCTGGGGGGGGAGGGGGGGCGCCGGGAGTAGAGTAGGATAGTGTGTGCGTGCGTGTGCATGAGAGTTTATGCATTGCGCCACCTCCCGGTAGCCCCTCTAGGTACAACGGGGGCACTTGCCAAGGAAAGCTCCACTCAAACGCAGCAGTCCAGCCCAGGCGCTAGCTTCGCTCCCCCCCCATCTATTGCAGCCCATACATGCTTGTATGGGTAGTCTTACAGGTATATGGCGTCACGCACCCCCAACCATGTAACACACACACACACATACATGCTGCCCGCTACCACCGCTATCATGTCCCGCTACCGCCGCTATTCATGTCCTGATGCCGCCGCCGCTAGGTATGGCGCAGCACTACATACTTTGGGTGCGGCATGGCGGGGGACAACGTGGAGATGCCGTTCTACAACGGGGTCATGGTCACGTGGGGTTGCAAGATGGTGGTGTGCCGCTTCGTAAGGCCCGGAAATTACATGAGCGACATGGAGTTCTTGAAGAACGGTAAGTGGCTTTGGAATGGCCCGCCCCTGCGTCCCCCTGCATTTCTCTGTCTGTGCCTGGGTGGGGAACTGCATCGGGGAGCTGCGTGCGTGTGTATATGTGTGTATATATGTGTGTGTGTGTGTGAGGTGTGTATATGTGTGTATATGTGTGTGTGTGTGAGGTGTGTGAGGTGTGTGCCTCTTGGTATATGTCTGTGCGTGCGCGTGAGCTTGAGCATGTGGCTGTGGTGCATGTACACGGGGGCATCTGACCGGTTACCTGGGTACCTGCTGGTGGCCGGTGGCCGTGTCGCGATGTTAGGGCCTGATGTTAGGGCCTGATGGTTATAAGCTAAGTAAGCCCAGGTAGGAAATTGTGAAGCTTCTGAAGCTTCTTCCAGGGTGCGGACGGTCAAAGCGCTCCAAATCCCCAAACACTATGTAAATACACGTGTAGATAGAGAGATGGATATGTGAATGCACATGCTGAGGCAGAGGGTTCATGCTTTGTAGGATAGATGGATGCAATTGAGGAACAGGGACAATAAAAAACTATTTCGAGGGGTTGCGGCTCCTTAGTTAAACACCATTAGTTTAATAACAACCAACAAAAAATTCACTTGGCTTGCACTGCACGTGCGGCTCACTGCTGCTCCCGTGCCGCGCGCTCTTTTCTCGTCATCCTTCTTGTCGTACGCAGTACTACCTCCTCTACCCGACACTGTCACGGGTTAGTGTGGCTGCAGCAGCAGCAGCAGTAGCCTGGATCCGCCGCCGCCGCCACCGCCACCGCCATTATTGCCGCCGCCGCCGTCATCGCCACAACATGTTGTGTACAGGGCGGTTCGAAGGATCACATCACCAAAAGGGATTCTTCATTCATTAACGCCAGCAGTGGTGGGAAGTGCAGCACATCCCAGCACATCGATGGGCCTCTTGTTTCTGAGATTGCTCTCGGCGGCAGCAAGCTCAAGCTTGAGCTTCATCTTCAGCGACAGATTCGGGGCGGATAACATCACAATTTACATTGCGGATCGAAGATGGGCGGCCCGGCACACTGAACAAAAGAGCAAAATGCGGCGGCTTTGGCGGCGGTGCGTGCACACAGCTAAAATGTATTCGCGCATCTCCGTACGTATCATACGGCTTCGCATTTTTGCAAGTTTGCGGTGGTGCATATATCCACCTGAAACCCGTCCTCCGCTGCCCCCTAACCAGCCGCAGCCACCGCCGCTGTCTATCTATCCTTGCAGTGGTTTACATCACCTACACTGTCATTCTGCCTAACAGATTGATACATACAACTAGTCTAGCTTGCTTGAGGTAGCTAGTATCCCCATCCTTGAAGTGCTGCTGCTCATACACAGACCTTAGGGTAGGGCTCGCGCGCTTTGGAACCATCATTGCCGATAGCACCCTAGCGGTAATATATAAGCACGTTACATGCATACATGCATACATGCATACTACTGCGTCGTGCACCCGCTCCTTGCGCGGCCGACTGTACTGCCGCCAAATGACCCCAAGCTTTCCGACGGGGCTCAGCTCAGCCGGGCCAGCTCAAGAATAATCCATATGCCATGCGCGTGCGGCTCACTGAAGGTCGACCTGAAGGTGATGCAAGATCAGGCTATTTCGCGCTTACGCATGCATACGAAGATACACGCACATATGCACGGACGCACAGGGATGCACAAAATGCACGGGACCCTATGATGACGCCCCACCGCCACCGCTGCCGGCGCACGCGATGGAAGATGATGCATTTGTGACAGTTCAGCAGGGACATATGTACATACATATGTATGTCACTCCACATTCTCAATCTTAAGGTGTAGATGTTTCCTGGCTGGCCCCAGCGCCCAGCAGCCATGAAGCATCACACATCTCTCACGTACGATATGGCCCTCGCCACGAAGGGCGAGAGGGACATATCTCCCTGCTCTGTTCAGCGCGTGTGCACGTGGCAAGGGAGGTATTAAGCAGCATGTATATAGCAAAGCAGCTATATATGTGTATATCTATCTATACACGACAGTATGGGGACGTCTGTCGGCCACATATATACCGCCACGATTTGTCACTTGCTCGCCGCATCTGACTGGTGGGCGCGTGGATGTATGATGTGTGAAACAGGGGGGTGTATCTTCGCCCGTGGCAGCTACCCTGCGAAACCCTGCCTTCCCCGGTATTTCGGGGCACCCTCATCCAGTCACCCTAGTCAACTTCTCAGTGGATCGCTCAGGTTCCGCACCCACCACCAGCATCCAACGGAATCTGCCGGGTCGACAGCGGCGCAACTCCATTCCTGGTCGGCTCGCAGGTTAACTTTATCCCAGGTCACCACCGTCCATCAACTAGGGGCGCAATGCCTTCCACCATCGGAAGGACTTTTGACCCTAAGGGGTATCGATCCCGGGATCTCCCGGGGGCAATGGTCGCGCCTTACCAGTGGTGCCAAACCCTAGTATGTCCAGGATGTATGTCCATCGCTGGCAGTCGATCACTTGGGCGCCGCCGTTCACTGCTGCTGATGCTGCTGTTCATGGTGATGGTGGTGGTGCTGCTGTATAGGATTGTGCGTGACGTGCACATATGTGTTACATGTGTCTGATGTAGGCATATGATGACGATATGCTATACGCGTGTAGACAGTAGCCTGTTTTGAATTGGATTGTGGTGAATATGTTTTTGCATTCAATCAATCATGCGAAGAGCTGGCAGATGATGAGCGTTCACGTTCAGGCGCCACCTTTCTCGTAGAGAACTGGGTGATGCGCCGTGTTTGAGGTTCGAGTGTGTGAGCGTGGAGGGGGGTAGACCGGGTGGAGCGGATGAAGCCAGCATGTGTGTGTATTTGTTGTTAGCTTGCATTCATAGCGTCAAATGGCGCCCGCTGCACGTCCGCAAGCGAGTGGCTGAGCCAGTCAGATTACTCATTTAGCACACTGTACATGGTATATCATTTCCCTAGTCAGATATAGCTTGCATTCATGTGTTGTTTATTACTTGTTTTTTCCTCTCTGTCACACAAGTGACGTTGGAGCAGCACGATGGAAACAACGAATTCTTCGGTACATGCACCTGCACCACTTCTGCACAAATATTTTTGATCGTGCCCAAGAAAGGAAGTTGGGCGGGTCCATTGCTATTGAAAATTTGCTACGTAGGGCGGCTGCTGTTTGAGCTTGGTGTGGTGTGGCGGCAGAGCCCCTTAAGCAAGAGGTTGAGGGCAGGTGTGTGCGTGCGTGCGTGCAGCAGCATGCAGCCATTTTGCAGCGCCGCCCTCTATCTATGTATCGGACACTGTTATTGTTCCTTCCGTTTAGTAGCGCTAGTGTCACATCTAACCTCATGGAGCACGATTGTTAGTCTTTAGTTGGTGTGAAGTGCGAACGCCGCTGCAGGATGCCGGCCGAAGAGGGCAGCGAGCGAGCCGGGTTGCCGTTCACTGTATGTTTGAGAGTTCACTGAGGATCATTTTCTATGCTGAAGACTTTGTCTTCACTACAGTAGCTAACGGATTGTAATTTGTAGGCAGATGGATACTACGCGGTTGTGTGCATGTTGCTCGTAGGCACACATGCATGGATTCCATATGTTTTTTATTTGCAGACATGACACTAAGCAGAGAGCGATCGTGCAAAAATTGTCCGAGTAATTAGGACGGATGCTGAATTCCTTTCTCTGTCTACCTGCATGCATGCACGCATGCGTAAATACGCTACTCAGAGGAACAGTGCTCTAAAGAGCAATCAATCTCTCTAAAGACAGAGTGTGCTGCAGCAGGGACAGCATCCGGTCATGCTATTTGACTGTGGGGATGAGCAGTAGCACGATAGGTACCGGTTGGAAGGTTGAACGGATGGTTCCGGAGCCATATACTTTACGAACTTGCCAGTCTGCAACTGGCAGACGCCAGTTGCAGACGCCAAAGCACACACACACACACACGCACACACACACCGCAGCCATCGCCAAGTAAACCACTCCAGACTATCAAGATAGGAGCTCAGCAGCCCCACTAGAGCTCACGCCGCCAGGCAGGACGAGCAAATAAAGCCAGGAATGAACGCACATGTGCGCGCACGGAACGTGTGCGCTCCAGCCATGAGAATTCATGCATCTCACCTTCGTACATGTACGTCAACTGAAAATATAGCGATTGGCTGCACCTTACTTGGCTACGGTCGCCAGCAGGCAAGTCATGCCCGGCCAAACGCCAAGGGATACAGTTACGGCATGTCGTCTCAAACCACAGTCTAGTACCTCCCCTGGCTGTACACGGATATCCAGATCAACATATACACCAACGGAATCATCAAGCAACATGTATAGCTGGTTTGTTCAGGCTAAGGAGGTAGTGCTCCGACCCAACGTACATCTACATGCCCAACAGTCGCAGCGCATCGAGCTAGCTCCAGCGCACGCAATATCCATCGATCCCAACAACTCGAAATGCTCGTGAAACGATGACCCATACAGTGCGTGACCCTCGCACAATCCAGCCCTAGCACGGCGGACGGGTTGTGTATGTATGTATGTATATGTATGCGTTAGCTTTGATTGAAGCGAAATGATGGCGCAGGGGCCATGCCTGGGTGGTTTCCGACAGAGACCAGTAGCCACAAACAAGCCCAGCCGGGGGCCTAGGCCCGAAATGGTGTAAGGACGCGCCCGGAGATAATTTTCATTCACGCGCCCGCCCCCAGCACGTACACAGCTAGCGCCGAAAGGGTTGCACCAAGGGTAAGTGTAGGGGCAGCGGATAGATATACCTAGAGCTCGATAAACGCACGGAGCAGGATGCATGCAGCAGCAGTTGGTCCACACTTTTAAGGCAGAGCGCAACATGACCCGTGTGTTTGGGGTGGATATGCAGGAATGCGGACCGATGCCCCTAGGGTGCCACCTGTCTGTAGCCATGAAAAGTAGAAAAATATGTATTATCGTACGGTAACTTGACTCCAACGCGTTAATTCATTAGTTCCAGGCGTCACTTATTGCTTCTTTGTTTGTGCGTGGTCGCGAGCGAACGGAAATGATTTTCCATGCACCGTGCAGAGCATGCTCAGCAACTACCGAACTGCACGGAGGATATATAAACCGTGGATGCTTGGTGAAACGAAAAACGCAAAGCAATGCAGTGTAAGGGTCGTCTGTCGTCGTCGCAACCTAACAATGATCAAGGAAACGCAAAAGACGCGCGGATTGTGGCGTTCAAGATGCGCCATATGTGTGCGCGTCTGTGCGCGCAAAATGAAGTGGGCGAGCTGCAGCGGCATTCCGCCGGTAGTCAATAATCGCCTATCTAGACGCGTGTAAAGCCTACTTACGCTTCTGATTACGCTCACCACCGTCGCCTTTTGGACCGAGGACGACATACGCCGTCGTCAGACCTTCCGAGGCTGGCGGAATTATTGAAGCGAAAGTTTGAAACTATCTCAAAACTTTGAAAGCCCACCAAAACAGTCTGGCAAAACCAATAGCACAATTTATCGACGACCGCTCTCAGGCATCCAGCCGCGACTGCAATTCGCGTGGACTTTCTACCTCAAGCCTTTCCATTTGTTCTCCACATGCATAAACAACTAAATACGACACGCCACCAAAAAGCGGAGGATGAATCAAAGCAATCTTCCAATACGAAGACTTGCCGATGAGACTATCTAGGAGCGCAACATACAAGTAGAACCGTCCGCTCTCGCGAATCGCTTGCTCAGCAGTTTTGATCCGACCGGCGCATGCGGAATTACGAACCAAAAACGTAGGTCGAAAAGCGGCCGGTGTGAGAAAACGCGCGCGACGCGCCCAGAATTTTAAGCCTGAAACTGTTGAAACGCTTTCGTATGCGGGCAGCCTAACTGCAGCTGCAGACGGTGTGCGCGCCGTAGATATAATGCCCTAAACCAAATAAACCTTCTGTGCTCTCAGCGATGCGCTCAGCCAACCAAGTGCCCATCCCATCCCAGCATGGAAAAATTGAAACCACTTTGCTTAGGGAAGCAAGCACGAAATTAACAAACATTCTCGTTTACCGTGCCGCCCGCCGTTAACGTTGTCAGCCGCCCCATCAAGCAAACGCCATGCCTGCAGTTGCCTGTTTGGTCATGATTAGGTCAACGACGCGAACCTAACTTAACCTAAATCACGCTGCACGTTCCCGCCAACCCTAGGATGAACCACCGCTATCATGACCTGCACATTGGCACGCACATTACGACGCATCCCTGCATGCGGTTGGGGCACAGCAACGGCTTCCAAGCTAGACAATCTTCTACCCTCCCGATCTGCTCAAACCTTCTCCAAGAATAAAAAAAGGAAATCATATTATCGATAGCACTCACCGGCACAGCTGCCACAGCTGTCACATCCCCCCTGGTTGCGTTGGATCACTGCGGCCGTTGCGCACTACAGTACGACTACTGTCCGCCTCTACACGTGGCTCCTAACTAGTAAGCTCTGACACTCAAGAACTGGCTAGCTCGGGTCTCAACAGCGGACAGCTGCTGATCCCAGCTGGTCTTTCACCTTCGATCTCTCACAAGCAAAAAATTCAACCATCCCACTGCATGACCAACTTTTACCCAATCGCCCTCACATCCACAAAAATGCGTGAAAAAAGCTGTTGCTGTGCTGTCGGCGCCCGAACGCGCCTCATCACCCACATCGCAGCAGCAGCAGCAGCAGCAGCAGCAGCAGCAACGATCAAAGAATGCAAGACAAGACAAGAAAAGAAAAAACACTTCACTCTTCTACAGTTCAACGACATTCTTCGCTCGATAGGTCCTTCGTGTTCAGCTTAACAACATACGTCCTTTTGACGATGAATAAAGCTAAAAAATAGCTACACACAACGCGATGAGATTGCGTTCCGCTACTTGAAAGACGAACCCTGCACCGGCATTCCTAATAAAGGATGCAGGAAACGACCCCTAGTTTCCGTTTCTTTCTTTGTGCGTGTCTCTGTGTGTATGCACTTGCTAATGCGTGCCCTTGCAAGGAAGGAAGCCACCCGCCGCCCTCGTGTATCGGCGTGTATGCAAATGTGTCGGTGCAAGCTCCCAGGGCCTTCCAGGCCGAGTGAAGCTGTGTGAGATTGCCCCATGGAATGGCAAGCAAAGTCGCCTAGTGGTTCAAGCTGCAGATATGCACATGTGCATATGTATGTAGGTATGTATGTATATATACATACGTGTGGGATGAGGATTGCCTGCTGTATGATTGCATGTCACCTGCCGTGTTCGTGGGACAGCTCGGCAGACGCCCAGCGCCAACCGCGTCGCCTTGCCCAGCTTAGAGGATTTAGAGCTACCTCAGAGCACGCCACGATGATTATATTATGATTTCTGATACGTTGGGCCGGACTGCAGGCAACATGATTCGTGGAAGGGGAAGGAGGCAGAGGGCTCGGGTCGGGGCAGCTGAGGCAATGAGGTGTGGGATGAACTCAGATGTTGTTGTCTGATGTGTGCGGTGATGGAAGCAGTAATGCACGTAAGTATGTCAGTGCCATAGCTATTTCTTTTTTTTCCTCGCATCAAGAATAAGCAAAACAAAAGTCGCATGCCGCATGTGGCTGTGTACGCTCCTATGAATGATGTGTGGAACAGGGGGGTGTATCTTCGCCCGTGGCAGCTACCCTGCGAAACCCTGCCTTCCCCGGTATTTCGGGGCACCCTCATCCAGTCACCCTAGTCAACTTCTCAGTGGATCGCTCAGGTTCCGCACCCACCACCAGCATCCAACGGAATCTGCCGGGTCGACAGCGGCCCAACTTCATTCCTGGTCGGCTCGCAGGTTAACTCTATCCCAGGTCACCACCGTCCATCAACTAGGGGCGCAATGCCTTCCACCATCGGGCGCCATGGGTATCGATCCCAGGATCTCCCGGGGGCAGTGGTCGCGCCTTACCAGTAGTGCCAAACCCTATTATGTATGTATGTATGTATGTATGTATGTATGTATGTATGTATGTATGTGTGTATGTATGTATGTATGTATGTATGTATGTATGTATGTATGTATGTATGTATGTATGTATGTATGTGTTTTGTTTTGGGGGGAGGAGAGTGAGGGGTGGGGTTGGGATGGGATGGGGGTGGGGTTGGGGAGGATGGGGAGATGCCCGTTTAACGCAGACCAGTATCCAACAGGTCACAGACGTGACAAGGTGTAAACACACACACACAGACATACACACACGTGCCGCAATTGGGCAGGCACTTCGTAAGCAACCTTAGCACAGACAGTAGCCCGCAGTGCTGCGCGATAGGCCCCCTGGAAAGAGGAAAGAAGCCGTTCACACACCGTTCCAGAGGAATTGGTTGTCGGTCGCGAAATTTCCGACGGGCTGAAACCGGCACACGACCATCTTGCAGCTCCCCTGGTACAAGCGACTGTTCATGTCGATTTCAATGTCTCCGATTGCCACTCCACAGCCCATTTGAAAGCTACTGCGCCACACCTGCGTCCACGCGCGTACGGCATATACACCCATAAAGACAACAGACAAAGAACCGAGCGTGGCCCATGAATAATACGTACCCACTACCCCCCACACACTACAAGACCGGGAGCCCCACCTAAAACCCCCTACTTGCACCCACTACCCTCTGCAACCGCACACGTTTCCCCACTAACCCCCACTAACACTACCCACCACCATTACCACTACCACACACTACCCCCACTAACCCCCACTAACACTACCCACCACCATTACCACTACCACACACTACCCCCACTAACCCCCACTAACACTACCCACCACCATTACCACTACCACACACTACCCCCACTACCACTACCCACTACTGCCATTATCCACTGTCACCCACCAGAGCTGTAAAGTGTCCAGTCTCTCTTGGCCAGTTAACGGTAAAGGGCTTGTCCGTTTCGAAGTCGTACCGTGTGACTTGGCTGTACCATCCCTGGATTGAGCTCAGGCAGTCGTTCCAGCTCCCCGCTGCTTGCGTGGGATATTTCCGCCACTGCGCGACGCAGGCGGGCACACACATACATACATACATACATACATACATACATACATACATACATACATACATACATACATACATACATACATACACACATTCATACATACACACTCGGCGACATCGCTGGGGTCTGGGACGCGGGGCTGGCGTATGGAACTTAGGGCTGTGCCCGGCCACACCGCTACACGTGACCTCAGCACCGTCAAACACATACAGACATACGCGGGATGGGTTTTCCAAATTTTTGCGTACCCGCGCAGCCGTTCTGTTTGCATAGCAGCCGCAGCCTGTCTGCTCACATCCAGCCAACCTCGCACACCTTCGGGGTTTTCCCCGTTCCGAGTATTAAATCTTGCACATGAGCCCGATAGTAGTCCCGTCAGTGATCCGCAGCGGCCGGCGGCCTGCCCCGGGGCAGCCACTCCGGCTTCAGCTTGGCCAGTGAGGTTGATGCCAACTGTCGGTATGAAGGTATCTGTAGCCTTAATACCGGACCCGACCAGCCCGACTGGCTGAATGAGAACTATATTCCGGCACCAGCCGGAAGGCTAGCCGCAGCGGCCTGCCTCGCCAGGTGGCCTACCTCGCCATGGGCACACCACTAAAGCTACCGGCGCCCATCTCCGCCCGATCACCCACCCACCCACCCTCTCACCATCATGAGGTTTTCTCCGAAATAATTGCTCATACTGTGTTGCAGGACGCATTCCCGCTGCGCCAGGTACTCCGCGTAGGCCTGGGCCGAGGCGGCTAGGGTCTCGCTCCAGACCATGGGCCGAGATTGATGCCGCACGCGGTACAGGTTGGTTTTCTCGAGCACCGCTTCGGTGTCGTTGCATTTGCCGCCTGCTCGTGCGGCATGTCACACAAGCGTAAGGGACGAGTGTAAGGGACTGGATTACTTGCTGCTGCTGGGTTAAGAAGATGGTCCCGCGGTGTGGATGGGGTGCGGTGTGGTGTGGTCTGGTCTGTTGGAGGTGAGGTCTAGCTGGTTGATGGACCAAGTTTCGCATGTCGGGCGAATGGATGGGGAGGGGCGTAGATGGCGGGGGCCCAAAGTGCCTTTGACTTTCAACTCGTATGGAGGAATCAACTTTCAGTATAGGTCGTCCATGGGCCCCAGGGCTTTGACGGACCCCCCCCGCATTCGTGGGGAACTTTAGGGAACTGTTAGCGACATGAGTTAACGCGAACTTAAGTTGCTCCTGATTACATCGTCTAGAAACCGCGTACCATCCATCCATCCATCCAGCTAGAGGACACGAAGCAGCAGCCACACAGTTACCAATAAGCCCTTCCCTCTTTGCCATCACACCATTTGCTGCGGCAACGATATACGTAAGCCTAACCCACACCAGGCCTTACTAAGCCCCACTGCGTGCTAAGGCAACGTTTAGATGAGATGTACCGCTCACCTGGAAGCGTGTCGGACATGGAAACATCTGCATCAGGCGGAGGTGGCGGAGGTGGCGGTGGCGGAGGTGGTGCCGATGGCGGTCGGCGTCTCGTTAGGGATGGTATGCTTGGCAGCTTCGGCAACCGAGGCGAGTATGGAGGTGGGGGCTGCTGTGGGCGGAAGGGGGGAGGGACCTCGGGTGGCGGTGGCGGCGGAGTTGGTGAGGGCGATGGTGGCGGCGACAGCGGAGGTGATCTCCGGACTGGTGGCGGCGGCAACGGCTCTGGTGGTTGCAATGGTGCTGGGAGTCTCCGGGCAGGAGGAGGAGGTGGCAAAGCCGGCGGTGACCGCCTATCAGGTGCCAGCGCCGGCAACGGCAGCGACGCTTGCGTTTGGAAGAGTAGCGGCCGACGGGGTGTAGGTGGAAACTGCACCGCTTGTGGTGGAGGCGGCGATCGCAGGTTTGCCGTCTGCTGCATCGTAGAAGCCAGCGCTGATGGTGGCGGCGGCGGCTTGCTAGGCGGTACCGTGGCTTTTGTTGCTAGAGGTCGTTGCGCCAGCTCTGAGGGGGGAGAAACCGTCTGTGGTGATGGTGGTGGTGGTGACTGGGCCGGGGATGATGGAAGGTTGGTTGATGACTGTTGTGGCGCGGACTGGCTACGAGGATTTAAGATGAAAGAGAATGTCCTAGGAGATGGTAGCCGCCATAGGAGCGATGAGCGAGTTGTTGCGGACGGCGGGCTTGGGAGCGCCACCGGCGGTAATGTCCAAGGCGGCGGCAGTGATGGCGGTGGCGGTGGTGGCAATGGAGAGGGATTACGGGGTCGAGGTGGAGGCGGTCGTGGCGGATTCCGCAAAGGTGGTGGCATACGGGCAATCGGCGGTGATGATGGGATTGCTGGAAGTGGCGGCGGCTGTTGTCCGTTGCGCGCCGGGGGTGGTTGCTGCTGTACGGCAGATGCAGGTTGCGACGTGAGGGTTTTTATGGGAGGTGGGAAGGACCTGGGCGGGGGCGGCGACCTCGGCGGCGGCTGCTGTTGCTGTTGCGGTGGTGATGGTGACGATGGCGGTGTCAGAGGCGGAGGTCGTGATCGCTTGATGAGGAGTATGAATTGCGTGGGGCGGCCGCTGCCGAATGTAGTTTCTGTGGAGCCAAAATGGGCAAAGCACAGCAGGACCGCATTAGCCTTAATAACTCCTAGATACGTTGTAAGTTGGCGGAACGACTTGTGTTATTGTTGACGAAATGCGCGATCGCACTTATAGCTTGCCTTCGGCGCTATAAACCGCTGCCACGCAGGTAACCATAAGGCAGCACAATAGATGTGAAGCCGCTCTCGTGCAGCCGACGCCCGCCATGATGGGGATACTCTGCTAATGGCAATTGAACTTTTCTTGACCAAGGTAATTCAAAGCTTACACGCACAATCACATGCTATTAGGCATAGGCACAATTTACTTCTTCGGCTCTGATCGTTCCAAAGGTTCAAATCCTGCCTTTTTTTTCGATCACCACGCTTATGCGCCAAGATCACAACAAAAATTGTAAAGGAATACGCCAATAAAATTGTTTTGAGCGTTTTCAATGGATCTGCGCCTCACTACCTCCTCTATGATTGAAACGAAAGGTATGGGTTGGCCTTTGGTTGGCCTCCTCTTTTCAAATTTGGTGAATCAGATCTGTTTATTCAAGGAGCGCCAGCTTCGCTACGTTACCTGTGTAGTACTGTAGATTCTGGATCTAAAGGGAATAATGGCTCAGCAGCTTACGAATGGCTAGGTAGGGGATCCAGGCTAGATTCATATGAGGAAAGTGCCAGCACATGTACGATTGCCTACCCCGTTATCCTTTCGCTTTTCCATTTGCACTTTTTCCTTACATGTTCACCATTATGCTTGCATGACCATCAGCTTCTCCAATGAGGATTGACGTTGCCTTGCTTGGACTTTCCATCATTTGAATTCGTTGCGGGGTACGCATGGTTGTAAGTCCATGGTTGTAAGTCCTTTTCAAGAATTACCCTTAAGCTTATTGTTCAGGTTTATGTTTAAGGCTAAATACCAGTACCCTTTCTTAGCCTTCTTTTGCCGTGATTATAGAGCTTCGTCGGTCGTACGTTGCGCAATATTTTTCGCTCCTTTCGCGCTTGAGCCATAGGACATGTTCACATCTAATGTAAAGTGGGTTGATCTGGGATTTGATTTGAGATCGATCGGGCCAATAATTGGATTGGGAATGGGGTTGGGCATTGGGGGCCTGTGATTCACTGGAAATCCTCAAAGAAACAGGAGTATAAAGGAACTAAACAAGCCAGTTGAAATAACAGAACATGTTATGAACATCGCAGTTAGCAAAGCCGCCGATTAGTACATGGCAATTATTTATCCTGCCATGTATATACAAGGCGCGTGATAATTCTCTCATAAAAAGGTATTAACAGTTACTTACATGCAGCCATCTTGAGTAATGTTGGTCTGCTTTAGATTGGAATGGGCGAATGGAGCGACGGAACGTCATCCTTGCTTCAATCGCAGCTGCTTTTGCGGAGGCATCGCAACTGCTGCTTCACCATTTCTTGGCGAAACAGTTTTTTGGGTTCTAGATTCAACGTTGGGGCGGGCGGTATTACATAGAGGAAAACATGCAGACACGGTTTAACTTCAATTACCTGGCTTATGAGCATTAATTTTGGGGCGGGAAAGGTTCCTCGTATTCTCAAATCGCTAGATGCGACCTTTAAGCAGCACGCGCGAAGCGATAACAGCAATGCGGATAAGGCAAGAGCAACCGTTCAGCTGGAGACTCCGTGTGATGACGCGCTTAAGGAGTTCCGACCTTTTCGGCTGCGGCTACAGCAGGGTTGGGACTCGTTAGGGATCCACGAGAGCGCCAGAAGTTTGTTGATGCAGGTTGCTGGACGAAAACGTGATTCAGAGGAGCCTGGAATAACGGCGTCCCGCCGCTATCTGAATTGGATGGGTGTGGCATATGAACCAATAACACCTAGAGAGAAATCAGCTCCGACTTCTCGAAGGGAAGTATGAGTGTAGAGATAGGCAATTTAGTGCGAAGGAACTGCCGTGGTGCGTGGAAGTAGGGCGCATGCATGCATGCATGTGCCGGACCACAGTACGGCAGTGGACGCCAAGCTTCTACTTGGGTCGTGCGGGCGGATTGGTTCTCTAACTGCAGTTGTTTTGACTGCTACCAAGAGATGTATCCCGATGCTGGGACAGTGTCCTCAATTTCCCCCCCAACCACCCAGGGATCTTATTGTCCTTTCTTATTGGTCTAATCTTGGAGTACCCGTCTATGTTCCTTTTTCTCGTCAATCGTCTGTGCCTCGTCGTATCCCCCACCTACCCAGGGCAATCCCGGGGGTTGCCACAATGCAGCGGTCCCTGGTTTTGTCGCCCGTGTGGCTCTTCGGCCCTTGTCGAGGCCCTTGAGGTCCTAGGATTCGTTAACGGTGCAACACAGGTAACTGTCATCACTATCGGCCACTAGTGCAACTTTCACAATGGGTTGGTGTTGGGTGCAGCCGGGTTGTTTTGCTACTGAGTTGTGCTTGCGGTTGGCGGCTTAGCTACCGTAATGCAACACGGCAGGCCTGAGCAATAGTCTCGGTGTCAGGATGGCGGCACCCTGAAGCTTCAGCAATACGTGAGCATATGTTTTAGACACGGCCATGTACTCAACTGCCCTGCAGCCAGAACCTGACGGCTGTGTTGTCACCGTGGGATGGGTAGAGTGGTTAATGGAAGAGATAATGCAAGTGTTGTTGTTATTACCCAAGGATGCCTGCAACCGCCTGCAACCGCCTGGAACCTTCCAGCTGCGAAGTTGTGTATGTCACTTATATCCGGGTCACAGTTGTCCGAGTGGCCGTGCATGATGCGTCGTATGCGTGAATAACGACCGTGTCATGAGTTCTAAAATTGCCCTGCCAGCTCCCAGGACTTGAAGGGCATTCCACCACCTGGTTGTTGGGTGCTTATAAAAGCCTTTCAACAACCAGCCATGCAGCTGCCCTCGACAGGCAGGGCCATGCAACCCGCCTGCTGCTGGCGAGAAAAGTGCATGTCGCAGGCAGCACGCAGGGTTATCATCGAGAGTTCACGGAGGGGGACTGGGGCTTTCCTCAACAGCGTCTAACTACTCGCACACTCTGCATGCCTCCTGCGTGAAGGATTACGGGGTGGCTGGCGACCTTAACAATCTTCTTAACGTGCAAAAACTTACCAGCATGGCGGGTGGGCTGGACTGCCATCTCTCTCAGGGCTGAACGCGCCGCTGCTTGCGGGGAATGCATGTCTGACTGCCGTGTCGACGGCTTCTCGACCATTGCATTTTGAATCCCAAACACACACATGTATCCATCCGTGCGCCACATATCCTTGAAGATATGACATGTTTCTGAGCCGCTGGAGGGCCATACTCGCTTTTGGAAAGCTCACAACTAACCAAGCGAGGAAGTGTGCTTTCCTTGCAAAGTTATTATTTGGGTTGCGATAAGTGGCTACATTCTGACGCATGCACACACACACACATATGCGTAGGCCTACTCAACTCTATTTGCTCGATTGCGGCGACGTGGTGGTGAGTACACAAAAGTACACACATAGCCAAGATGACGGGCGGCAAAGGGAGGCCTTGTTTGTGCTACTGCTGCACGTCGTCCATAGCGTAGGTTTGGCTAGCATTACTCATGAGTAATGAGTTTATGATCATAAACTCAGAGGCTTTTCATCAAGTACTTTTCATCAGTTCATGTTCGGCAGTGTTCGTGCTTGGTTGTGCATTTTTGCCACTGTTACTTGCAGGCAGGAGCTGTGATTGGCGGATTGGGACCACTCGAGCAGGGAGTCGAGCGACAATGGTAGGGAGCCGCGGGTGTTGCCGGATTTCAGAAAAAAAACCTGAAGCCCGGCGTAACGGTGTGCAGCTGTAAAACCCTTTAATTTTCTTGCAAGTTCCTGTTCCCAAATTTCGCCGTTATGTAGCAGTTTTTTTAGCAGTTAGAATCTTAATTTCCCTTTCATTTTTTTAAAATCTTCATTGCCTCGGGTAATATCAGTTTTTGTTTTCTCTAATATCTTGTTTATGCAGAAGGGAAGTCTCTTGGTTTGGTTTCTGTCCAGGTAAAAAAACTCAATCACTTCGGCGTTTTCATCATCACGATTTGCAGAACGATTGAGGAAGGTTTCAGGACCATCTGAAGTAGATGGGTGTTGATGATGTGTGCAGTGATTTTTTTTTCATTTAGGGGGGGTCTCAATTTATTCCAACCTAAGTAACAAAGTTGCTAGCGTCGCCGTTATGTATTCCTTAAGAGTGGGGCGCTGGGGGGGGCTACGCCCCCCACAGACCCCCCCCGATAAATTACAACTCCCCTCATAGACCAAGAGGCACGCACTGCGTTGGCGCGTTTTCGTTCATGTGCGCACGCTTCATGCACATGCATAGATAGTTCTGGCACTGTTTGTGAACAAAAAGTAAATCCGACCAAGCAAAGGCCCAAAGCAAGCAACCGCATAGCAAATCAAAGGCCGTCACCCGCCACTGCAAACCACAGCACACTGGGACTCTACCGGTTCATCATGTACCGGCCCCTGCTGCTGCTGTCCAGCCACTCCCGCACTGCGTCAAGGAACGGGAACGTGCCCAGGTCGAACAGGTCCTGGGTAAACATCCGCACACACAATGCTAGGTGCTCATGCCCTTGCGGATGCGCTGTGTCTGAGCCCGCTTGGCACTGCGAGCACTCGGGTTGGGCGCCTCGCCGCATTCGTTGTTGTCAAGCTGATTGGGTGACAGCTTGCGCTTATGCTGATCACAACCGCCATGGAAGGCAGGGGTAATGGCGCCCGTGTCATCGGTCGCCGCTGGCAGCAACATTGCCGATGCATTACCGACAACAGCACCGCCGTCCCAAACGCCTTTATCAGGAAAAATTTTAGACTTATCTTGCTGTTTTTGTGTTTGTTCGGCGTTCAAGTCGTTGCCTTTTGCGTGTTTGTCTATGGAAGGACCGGTCATACATTCTGCTATGCCGCGTTGACTCACGGGCTTGACCTTCTTACGGCCCCTCATATCTATTTTATGATCAATAATACTAAGTTCTGCACACTACGGAGCAATCTGGCAGCAATGGACGTTTTTGGCTGAAGGAATGAAAATGTACGGATCGGCCTCACTTTGTTCCTTATTTCCAAAGGCCAAAAAGGCCTCTTTATTCCTTAAAAGTAATATATTACTTAAAAAAACACTGGATGTGTGTGGTTGTTACATGCAGACTCCCGAAGAGTAGAGCCATCGGGCCAGCTGGCCGTGCACTGCACTAGAGACTAATATACAAATTAGACATTCACCCAGATGAGACAACTAAAGGCAATTAGACAGTCAAAACCGCGAGGAAAGGGAAGGCTGAGGACCCCCCATTATTATTGAAATAGGCCTGAGCCTGAAAAGTCCTCCAATAATGATGATGGTGTAACGTATGAACCAGTCGCGCCCAAGGAGAAGTTAGGACATCTCGGCACCAGCGCGGCTATCTTATAATCAAGTCGGAAAATTATCGGGTTTCGGTGTTCTTTTCCCAGGCTATGGAGCTAAGTATCCAATTTTTCCCAGTTTTTCGACTGAGGAAATTGCGCCAGCCAGCGATTGTTTTTTTCCAAGTTCTGACGGCGGGGGGACATAAATACCAGGGGTGCCATTTCCCATCACGGAAGATAGCCACGCTGTACGGCACTGATGCCCTGGCGTCTTGGTCGATGCGAGCTTGACATGTATCGTTCGTTTTGCACGCTGGCCAGGACGCAACCCTTGCGCCGAACGTACACGCCGAGTATGCCGTGAGAACGCTGTGGAGGATGAGCATCCGTCACATGTTAAAGGAATGCCGCCTCAAATACAAGTAATATACTATGCAGCATTTTTAAGCCAGCTTCAAATGAAACAGGTGTTGCATGGCTGTC